AGAGCAGATATTCTTGATCTTAGAGAATAGTAACCTCTAAGTTTTAACCACTGAATATGATGCTGGCTATGGGTTTTCACAGATGTCTCTTTTGGGGCCACAGACCTAGTAAGTTGAGTCTTTTGATCATGAAGAGTGTTGAATTATTTAAATACTCTTCTGTGTCTACTGAGATGATTATGTGGGTTTTGTGCTTTTTTTACTGACATGGTACATTATACTTTGTTCTATTGATACAGTAATGTTATATCAATTGATTTTCATATATTAAATGAAATAACGTTTGTATTCTAAGGATAATTGTCACTTGTAATGATATGTAATAAGTTTTATATTTTACTTAACTTTATTTGCTGGTTCAAGGGGCTCAAAGGTTCAGTGAAAATGGAATGAAAACACTTACCTTCCCACTGACTTTCTGAAGCCCCTTTATTTTGTTGAGGACTTCTGCCTCCCTATTCTTAGGAGATATTTATCTACAGTACTGGTAATATCAGGCTTCTTAGACTATTACCTATTTTAAAATTAAATTTTATGGGAACACAATGACATCCTTTCATTTTCCAATGTTTTATGCATGCTTTTGTTCTATCAATGAACAGATCTGAGCATGTGCTGAAAAACCTAAAGTATTTACTAACTAGTTCTTTTCAGAAAAAAGTTGCAGACATTCAATAAACATAAAAGATTCATCTATAACATTTATTTGTAAAGCTGAACAATAGAAACAGATCCAGCCTAAGTTCTCTTTCTTTATGCTCAATGAAACTGAGCAAGGGGAGCAATTTTGTAAGAGGAACAAAATATAAGTGAAGCAGGTAGAATTCTAACTCTTTGACAGCAATGTTACTTGGGAAAAGGAATGTCAATTTAGAGTTTCAAAGACCTTTATGACAAATACAATCTGTAGTTCAGGCTAAGATTTCTTTACCAAATGACATGATAGAATTGAAACATAAAATGAGATTCTTCTATTCTTCTACAGTCCTGAACCTTTATTTGCCTTTTACTCACCTTTCCTACTTCTTTCTGTGGAGCATGGATGCTGCTTTGATCTTCAGTTCTATCTTCCTCCTCATCAAACAAACTAAGAACAGTTTTGGTTCTACCCTTGGCTCCTTTCTCCAAGGAGGATGATGAAGGAAATACATCAGAGGGTTTGACTACTGCCTGAGCAGATATAGTCAAAGAGCTTTCCTAAAAATGGATATAAGCAAAAAGAATAAGATCTAGAAATACAAATCCTAGCATGGAGTCTTACAAGCTCCTAAGAACTTTAGTTAACTATCACATCTGTACATCTTATCACGTCTATTCCCAGGTCACAAACCACTAAGATCAATCTTTAATCAGCTGTTCCAACAGTCTCAAACAGATATTCTACAGCCAGCTTTGACCCATGGGTATCTCCCCTTACATCAAGTGAAGGGAAGTTATAACCCAGATCCATATAGTTGTTCATGAGCTACAAATAATTTCCAAGTTATAGAGATAACACAAGTGCCAATCACTGGAAAATGATCATAAATTTCCAAATAAAAGTGTTGCTTACCTTCTACTATATGTTATATATGTAAACAACGCCATACTAAAACTTTATGAGAACCCGCTTTGAGTTGTCCTCATTGCTACTGGCTAGAGAAGCTGGTGGGTTTGAATGGCCAACAATGTAGTTAGTGCCTAACCCAACGCAACAAGAGGGCTCCTTATTAGACTGTATATACTTACTGCCGCTGAGTCAATTCTGACTTAGAGCAACCCTATAGGGCAAGGTAGAACTGTTCCTGTGGGGTTTCCAACATTGTTAACTGTTTATAGGAGTAGAAAGCCCCGACTTTTTTCTCCCATGTGCTCGTTTTAAACTGACCGCGTGGTTAGCAGCACAATGCTTAATCACTATAAAAGGAAAAATTCACCTTTCCTGATTCCTCAGTTGCGTTAGCTCTGTCATTATCTGATGGTCCTATGGACTTGTTAACATTCTCTTCCGTAGACTTCAGTCTAAATGATGCCTCCTCCTCCTCTTCATCACGAAATAGCAAAGGTGTCGTCTGAGCAACTGTCTCTTTTTCCTAACAAAAGAAGAAGAAGAGTAAATAACATCCTGAAAAACAATAAGTGATACCTGACTGGAATGGCCACATACAGACCAACAAGTCAAAATCAGTTTTCCTTAGGATGCTGGTGAGTATGGTGGTAGAAGAGTGAAAAAATAGTGACACAGGCATGAAATTAACAGAACCAAATAATAAAATCTTGCATCTGCAAAGATGTCACAACACCATTTCTGTCACCATCCTCAAGTGTCTCTTTATCTCCACTAACCTTCTTTATGGTCCTGTCTAGTTTAAAAGTCCTTGCTCCACAACCTAATTACTCATCACTCCTCTCTGGCTCCCTCCTGTGACATTGCAACTACAGTGAACTCTCGCCACTTCGTGCTTCGATTTCCGCGGCTTCACTCTATCCGGCTTCACTCTATCGCGGTTTTTGCGTAACAGCGCATGCTCTGTCATTACTGCCACTGATTGGCTCATACTGTACACGCTTGATGCCATAAATAATATAATAAATAATAAATGATAATTGTAACGTCCAAAATGTTTTGGTGTATTTTCCCTTTTTCGTTTAATAAATTGGGTAATACGAGTGTAATGGTGACTAAAGGGTGTTTTTTCAAGTCCTCTATGCTCTAACTACGAAAATATTTGATTTACAAATAAGGAATCCTACTTCGCGGAATTTCATTTATCACGGTAGGGTCTAGAACCGATTAACCGCGATAAACGAGGGTTCACTGTATATCCATCAGACTTAGCTAGAATTGCCTTGCTAAAATAAACACAGATTATTTCATCCTAATACTAGACTGAATTAAACAAATATACAAGACAATCAACATACACCACATCCGTATCTTCATCTGCACTACACCACTAGCATGCTTTGCTCATTCTTACATCAACTGGATACTTTAAGACTTCTAAGTTTGTGCCCCTCACTGTCTTTTGTAACTCAAATATTATCTGTAAAAGTTTTCCTATTCTCTTCATTAATATTATGTTGCTTCGTTAATAAGCACCTCCTTTACATTTCACATTAATAAGAAGTACACCACTTACATTTCATTAGCCCTTATCTTACTCTCTAACTTAAATAGTTGTCCCAGACAAAGCCAGACATTTTAGGTAGAGCTGTAAGGCCTCTAACAATACATGATTATAGAAAAAGTGGAGTCTTGTAAAATTGGGTAATTATTCCTAGTGTTTCCATGCTGGATTAGGGTTAAGATGTCAGATTCAGTCTCGAAAAAATAAACATTCATTTCCCGAACAAGTTGGAAAGATTGGAGAAGTGGTGGGGAGGAATGACTGAGGAAAACCTAGACACCAGAAAAGCAGCTCCAAGAACCAGCATAAACTGGATCCATTTATTTATGACCCCTGTAAAATGAGTAGTTCATCCAGCCATGTCCTGAAGAACTTATGATATCATGCATCACCCCCTGTGAAAATAATCTCCCACTGATAATGCCAAGACTGGACAACCCATCTTTCTGGTTCCTTGCACTGTGCTTTGCAATCAATTTTCTCCTTAAAATAAGAAAGTTATCCCAGATCTGCTTGGTCCATTAGTTTGAAAGGACCATATTTTATTATTTCTATGGCCAGTGGTACTATTTAATAGGTGCTCTATACAAACTGGGAAGCACTTTGACCCATCTATTATCTATTCCTTACATAGAAGCAGAGATTATCCATATTAGAAAACTAAGGTGTTTGATTTATCTAGAGCTATTAACATCTAAGAGGTAAGTGATTTATCAAACTCTTGTCAAGTTCTTCTCAGCCCACAGAGGGGAAAAAAAAAACAACGCATTTTTTCATATTAACTGGAATGGATGATATAAGGAAGTTTTTGAACAATGTCTAAATCAAGTTGGGATAGTAGATTTAGGAAGATCTAAGGATGTGCAATGAAGTAAATTATTTAATATGGCTCTCTTAGCCATAGTCTTTGTTACTCCAATCAAACAACCTTTGTTTTCCTACTGATTAGGAAGATACTGATTGGATTATCTGACTGATTCAGTTGTGAGTGCTAGTTAAACAGGGTTAATTGTGATTGTCATCCTGCTGGATATAAAATCCACCATCTCAGAAGTAGGAAGGATTATTCGCACTACCAGAAAAAGAAAAGAGCAAGGAGGGAAGCCCACCCGTCTGACCCAAAGACTCATGTGCATTGAGCTTCCTTGATCCAGGAGTTTTGACACCAAGGAGTGGCAGAGCAACAACAATTGAAGAACCATGGGGCCAAGAGTATGAAATGAAGTAGTAGACTTCCCAGACCACAAAGTAAAGCTGAGTGCTTTGGAAAAGAAGGCTGGCTTGTAGAGTAGGGTGTCTCTGAGCAGTTAGTTGGGGAAGCTGAGTGCCTTCGGTTTGAGGCTTACAGTGGAGTGGCATGCCCTTTGGGAATTTAATAGCAGTCCTAAAGGAGTTTTGTTAACATTGCCAGAACAAGGTAGAGGCCAGGCCAAGATCAGAGGGTGATGGGTCTGTATGTGAGCATTGCAGAAAAGAAACTGTCCTGACTAAACAATTATATCCTGATATTTCTTACCTGAATTGTAGCCTGTTAACTTGCAGACACACACAAAAATCCATAGATGTAAGTATCATCTGGTTGCATGGTTACTGCAATGAATTATGGAACCTAGCTGAAATGTATCATGGGAGTGTCAAGGGAGGAACAGTTGGTATCAGAATAGGGTTAACTAGGATGGACTGAAGGTTAAGAAGGTAGAGGCATTACTGACCCCCTGCCTGGTGACAATTGGCCTTAATGGTTATAAGAGGTCCTATGGGGCCTCCATTCCATTTTCCACAGGACAATACTAGTTAAGGTAGAGAGAAAGCATGCAAGACAAGAGAAATGGTAGAATGTATTTGAATAAGATTATAGGTAGCATAGTAGGCTAAGCTATGGCCTTTAACAAGGGGATGACAGAACCAGATATGTTTTGAAGGGAACTGTGGGAACAAGGAGACTACATAGAAGGGAAGGAACAAGTCCAAATAAAAAATGATCTTTATAGTCAAGACTAAAGATGACATGAAAATAGGTATGAGGATAAATATCACTAGCATAATATAGGCAGGACATGGTAATTGATTATCAGTGGATTAGTGTCATGAGTTGAATTATATCCTTCAAAAATCTGGTCAACTGGACTGGGCCAAGATTGTCAGTGGTTTCACAGTTATGTAATAATGTAATGTGGCAGTTATGCAGTGACACCTCATGTTATGTATAAGTCAATAAAAGATTAAGGGTCAGATACCACACCCTTAATCCAGTCACAGTCCTGATCCCAGGTAAGGGGATTTCTATGGCATGTGGCCTGGAACACCATTTGTCTTTAAAACAAGTTAAAAGGGGAAAGACAGGAGCAGAGGTCAGAGGGATCAACTACCACCATTTAAGAAAAGGCAGAATTTGATAACAGAAGTGGGTTGCTGCTCTATCAGATCCCTAAAATGTGGAAGTGGTTTTGGAATTAGACAATGAGTAGAGGCTGAAAGAGTACTAAGGTACAAAACAGCAAAAGACTAGATTGCCTTAAAGAAACTGTTGGTGAGATTAAGGACATCAAAGGGAATTCAGGTAAGGGTTCAGAAGGAAGTGAGGTGAAATACCAGAGCTGATAAACAGCAGCAGCAGAATTAAGAGACCAATGCAAGATGCTGTGAGAGCTAACCGCCAGGTAAAGAAAAGTTGAGCACCTTAAGGGCTCAAGTTAGAGGTGGTATGGTTATCTCCAGGCATTTATCAGCAGCCCTAAAGAGTTTTATAGCCTGTGCCCATGAAGGACAAAGGCTAGAATAGCCTCTTAGAAAACGTAAGGTGTGAAGAAGCAGCAGCTCTAGAGACAAGCGCCATGGGAAGCACAGGTGCCATGGTCTCAAAAGATGAATCCATTACCTCTGGGCTTTAAAAGAAACCCTGGCCTCTGAGGTTCCTAAAGGGGGTGGGGGTGGGGCAAAATCTTCTAATTTTTAGAGTCTTCTTTTTAAAGATATTCTCCAGACTGTGGGGCTCCTGTTAAGATGAAGATGAAGGGGGAGGGCTATCATGCTTGAGGGTTTGCCAGGGTTGAGGGGGTGGGGTCATCATTCAGACAATCTAGGAAGCATGGCCAACACCCAGAGGTTAGAGGACAAGGCCATTGTCTAGGTGGTCTAAGATGAGAGAAACTAAAATAAATTATTTCATTGGGTTTATAACTTGCTTGGTACCCTCAATCTCTTCTTTCCCTCCAATTGTTCCAGTATATAATGGAAATGTCTACCTTGTGCCTGTCCACCATTGGAGTTTTGAAGCAGAAAACTTTTATTCTAGATTTACAGGGGAAGAGGAACTTAACCCCAAACTGGAATGTAGGTGAAAGTGTTTTGCATGTGGCAAAAACATGAATTTGGGGGGCTAACCTCCCGTAAAAAAACTTCTTTAGAAGAGCAGAAGATAATCACTTTAAGGACTGAGGTGCTCCTGAGTATGCCTAGCCATGGTATTTTCAATTACTTCACATGCATATGAAAGCTGCACTGGAGACTGAACTGATACATTTGAATCATAATGTTGGCATATTGAATATACCATGGTGTCAGAAGAGTGAACAAAATCTGTCTTGGAAAATGTACAGCCAGAATATTCCTTAGAAGTGACGATGGGATGCAAAGTAAGGAGAATAAGATAAAAGGCCTACAAACCTTCTATCTTATAAGAGAAAAAAGGAGAAGGAAGTGAGCAGAAATAAGAGGGATCTATTACCACCAATAAGAAAAGAGCTAGGGTAAGGAGGGCGTAGGATGCCTGGTGGGGCTTGGTTAAGTGTAATGTAGCCGAGAGAAATTACTGAAACCCGAATGAAGTGCGAACGTGATAGTGGGACAAGAGGAAAGTAAAAGGAAATGGAGGAAAGAACTAAGAAGCAGAGGGCATTTATAGAGGTCTAAATACAGGCATGTACACATATAAATATGCTTATATATAATGATAGAGAAATAGATCTATGTGCATATATTAATATGTTATGTATTAAGGTAGCAGAAGGACATTAGGCCTCTTCTCAAGTACTCCCTCAATGCAAGAACAGTTTGTTGTAATAACCTGGCATTCTGCAATGCTCACTTTCTGACATGATCACTGAAGACAAAATGGGTGCATAAGCAAATGTGGTGAAGGAAGCTGATGGTGCCCAGCTATCAAAAGATATAGCATCTGGGATTTTAAAGGCTTGAAGATAAACAACTGGCCATCTAGCTGAGAAGCAACAAAGCCCACATGGAAGAAGCATATCAGCCTGTGTGATCATAAAGTGTCAATGGGATCAGGTATCAGGCATCAAAGACCCAGAACAAAAAATTATATGTATATGAATAATGGAGAGGGTGGAGCATAGACCATTGGATATCCCCTCACAGAAAGCTCACAAAGGAAGAGATGAGCCAGCCAGGGTACAGTATTGTACCAATGAACATACAACTTTTCTCTAGTTCTTTAATGCTTCCTCTCACCCACTATCATGACCACAATTTTACCTTACAAATCCGGCTACACCAGAGCATGTACACTGGTACAGATAAAACCTCTTGACACAGGGAATCTAGGACAGATAAACCCCTCAGAACCAATAATGAGAGTATTGATACCAGGAGGGGAAGGAGAAGGTGGGGGAGAAAGGGGGAACCAATCACAATGATTGACAAGTGGGAGAAAGGGGGAACCAATCACAATGATCGACATATAACCCCCTCCTGGGGGGATGAACAACAGAAAAGTGGGTTGAGGGAGACAGCGTTCGTTGTAAGACATGAAAAAAATAATAATTTATAAATTTTTAAGGGTTCATGAGGAAAGGAGGGTGGGAGAGTTGGGGAAATAGCTGATGCCAAGGGTTCAAGTAGAAATAAAATGTTTTGAAAATGATGATGGCAACCTATGTACAAAAGTGCTTGACACAATGGACGGATGTATGGATTGTGATGTTAGAGCCTACAATAAAATGATTTTTTTAAAATTAAAAAATAAAGATAGTAGACAGAACACCAAAGAAGTAAGCAGAGAAAATAAACACTGCTGATGAACTAGGCTTCCAAAATGTACTCTGATGGCTAATCATTAATTTGAGCTACATACTGCATTAAATAAATATAGACAGTAGCAAAAAAAAAAAAAAAGAGCCAGGCTGAAGTGTGTCCTTTGGACTTGGGATCCCTGCACTGAGAAACTCTAGGCACGTGGAAGACTGCTGCCAGGACAATGGATCTATCCAAGGAATTCTAGGTCTGTAGATTTTGAACGGAGAAGACTTTCACCAGAGCCAATGGAAAGAGAAAGCCTTCCTCTATGGCCAGAAGTCTGCATTTAGACTTCTAACCTTCTGTAAGCAAATAAACTTCTATTTATCAAACTCTTTCACTTGTGGTATTTCTGTTATAGAAACACCACATAACCAGTGCAGGTCTACTATATACATATAAAATCTCATTTAAATAATATTTTTAAGTAAAAATACATTCAAATACCACAAAACAAGAAATGATAGGCAACACACTATTATATTTACCCCTTGGAAAGAGTTTTGACTGGGGACCTTTTATACTATATGCAACTTAAAAAGAACTTATTCATATATAGCCAGGTAATTAAAAATTAACTTTAAATAAAAAATATTTAGGTGGTATGGAAGAAGAATAAGCACCAGCTTCTAAAGAGAAGAATGTATCAAGCTCCTCTGCTACTTCCAAATCCCCCTTTATTGCATCCCCAAAGAAAAATCCACAGGATTGTGCACGTATCAGAGACACTTTATAGTGGGAGGAGCAAGGTCTTCTGGTGCCACCCTTCTAGACTCCACATTGCAGGAGGCCCAGGAACTTATCCCTCCACCCATGTCTTGGACATTTTCCTGATTTTAGCATGTAATTACATTGAAGTGGTTTGAGGTTATGTTGAAAAGCCTTGGAGTCTGTTCTGCCAAGGCCTTTCAAGTTAACTTAGTAAAGGAGGTATCCGTACAACCTGCATGGAATCTAGAGTTCTCAATCTCCCTTTAAAGGTGCTGTAAATTGTCAATTGTCAATAAAATATTACTTGGTCTCACGTTGTTCCATGCACACTTTGTTCCAGAGGCATCATGGAAGAAAGGTATGGCAATCTTTCGAAAAATCAGCCATAGCCACTGAAACCTAATAGAACATATTCTACTCTGACACACATGGGTCACCATGTCTCAGATGAAACACCAACCCTTTTTTTAACATCAAGAATGAATTTTTCTGTTTGTGCAGTGATGTCATTTAGACTTACTTATTGGAAAGGTACTTAGACTATGGGCCACTGAATGCCTATTTATATGCATATGAATCAAGGGGGAAACGCTAGACTTAAAACATTATCTTAGAAGGCATAATTTATGCTTTAACAGGTCTTATTCAGTGCCATTAGAATAAACAAGCTAGCCAGAAAATTCCCCTCTGAGAACTGGTTCAGCAATCTCTACTAAAATTCAAGACTCCTATTTCATCCCTACCCTTCATGTGGAATGGCTACACAAATCAGGAACTCTTCCTCTACAACGTGTGCAATACTGCCCCCTGGTGGGGAACTTGAATGATCCAGTAGGGTTGCAAAAGCATATACCTCTATACTACATTATGAGCTACAATACAAATTTTTTATTATCTGGGTGATTCTGAGTAAATTTTTTTCCTGAAAAGGGGGTGGAAGCCTATGCTTTTCCTCCCTCACTATCATGATCCTAATTTCTACCTTACAAATCTGGCTAGACCAGAGGATGTACACTGGTACAGATAGGAACTGGAATCGCAGGGAATCCAGGGCAGATGATCCCTTCAGGACCAATGGTGTGAG